CATCACATGCTGTCTCAGCGGGGTTTCTTCCACGGCACACGCACAGCCACATTCATGCATGCCCATGCACCACAGTGACACACAGGTGTGCACACAGTGTGTACTCAGTATGGACAGATGTGTCACTACGCGCGCACACACACACACACACACTAACACACACACACGCACACACACACACACACACACACACACACACACACACACACACACACACACACACACTGCAGGTTTTGGTTATGCTAATTCATGTGCATTATTTTCTATAGGCCAGTGAATCGAGACACAGCATAGTGAGCCCAGTGGAATAGTTTGCCTCTCCACATCAAAAAAGAGGAACTATATGAACAGATGAAAGAAAGTAAGACACAACAACACATCTACAGGACACAGATATACATATCTATATACTAGAAAAGAGACAGGCACACAGGTATGCATGCACACACAGGAAACAACAAAGAAAGATTGACAGCAGCAGAGGATATATGGATGTGTGACCCTGGGAGAAGAAAATGGGTTGTATTCCCTCTGTGAATAGGAAAAAACGATGGGGACCAGGGATTTTTATGATCCGTTCAGGCTTCCTGAATACTAGAATAGAGAGGAACTGGCCAAGGTCAGAGGCAGAATTCTCTATTCTAATTTGGAGCGTTGCTCACCACCCAAAGCAAGAGTCAGGGATTAATTTAGAGATCCATTCACCACGCCTGTGCGAGGGGGGGGGGGTATGGGGGTGTAGGGTGTGAGGGGGTGGATGGCAAAACATGACGAAGAATTGAGGAGCAGAGGAAGGGGGATAGAGTGAGGAGATGAGGGCGACAAGGGTAGAGGTTGGAGAAGCAGAGAGAGATGGAGAAACAGATCAACAGAGGTGGAACAAGTGGGCAAGGACGAAGAAGGGACAGAAAGAGGGTATGAAAGAATGAGAGAGGTGGATATATGTAGCCTGCAGAGAGAGAGCAGACGGTTCACATAGAACAGCTTCATTCTCAAAACACTCCTCCTCTTATGGCCCAATGCCTCCATTTGTGTGTGTGTGTGTGTGTGTGTGTGTGTGTGTGTGTATATCTGTACACCTATGAGAAAGAGATAGACAGATGATATGTGGGCAGGAAAGAGAAATGGAAATAGACAAACAAGTACAAGAGGAAGACAAACAGCGAAAGGGTTGATATCTGAATAGAATGAGTAGAATGAAGGAAATCTTAAAGTAAAACACAAGAGAGAATATATATATATACTGTATATACAGTATATATATATAATACAAAGGATAAAGCATGCCTTATTCTCCTGTATACTTCTCCTCTTGTCAATACGTCCCATGAAAAGACCAAAGACAACAATACATTCGTCCATCGCTCATTACTGACTTCACTCGTCCGTCTGTGGCTCTGAGCCCTCAGCCCATGTGTTTCAACTGAAGACATAAATCTTTAAAATGGGGTCATAAAAACTTACATAAATACAGTTTAACTTTTAAATAGGCTACTTAATTTCCTCAAACAGCTGGGCACTGTAGCTTTTAGCTAACTTCACTCAAACAGGAATAAATTGTGTATTTGTTCGGGACTATTTTCAGCTATGGTAGCGTATAAAACAGCAGGATATTACATGTGGGACTGATTCAAAATAAACACAACAGTGGCTGTGTGCACGGTAGTAAAGGAATGTGTACAGACATACATGTCCTCCTCAGGATGAACTGTGTTAACTTTGGTGATCTGCTAGTCTGTCAAGGAGTTTGACTTGTTAATATTGAAATCTATCACACACAGGAACAAGCTACCAGGCTTTGGCAACACAGACAATATTAAACAGGATCAATTCATTGTTGGTTTTGGTCTTTAAATGTGATTTGTTGACAATAAAAAATGTTGCTGGTCTTATACGTTAACATACCCTTTCTCAAGTTCATTTCCCAATAAGCAGATTAGAAAATCCATCTTATTCCTCACTATCTGACAGTGTAAGATATAAATTCTGTATCATGTTGTTTCAACTCTTTACTGAAGCTATGTGATGTTTACACTTGCTGGAATCTTAAAACCCAAGACTCCATGTTTTTTTATGGTTGCACCATTCTGTCAAACGGAAACACTCTTGATGTCTTGCACATAGAGCACAGCTTGATTTTGTTATAACTAAGCCACTGGTCATTGGTGGATATACTGTGGTAGAAATAGGAATGAGCGTACAAAGAGAGAGAAAGGTTTCTGGCAGGGTTGGACTGGCCTTCGAGCATAACGGGACAAATCCTGGTGGACCGTCGCATCGTTGGGGGGGTAGAACGTCAAAAAATCCATAAAGTTTTCACCAGCCCTGTCAGTCTCTTTACTGGCCCTCTCTGTGTGCCTGTCACTTGGGATACAAGCGTGGTCGCACCCCAGTCGAAGTCAATAAATCCAGGGCTGGAGCAATTTCTTTCCCAGTCCAACCCTGGTCTCCGGCACCCACTGTAACATATCTCAGTCAGCTGGGCTTCAGTGCATGCATGCTGATTGTAAAACACCTGCTGAGTGGTTTTAAACTCTAAGAAATGACTCTGCCAAAATTTCCTCTCAGCACACCCCTTTCTTCATCACCAGTAAATTCCATACTCCTCCCCTCACATTATAACAAAGCTACCTGATGTGTATTCAGTGTGTACCTTCCCACTCACACAGATTAACAGTGAACAGAAATAGATGCAGCATGTGATGGTATTCGTGGGTGGGAGGAGGCAGATGGACTATTAATTTTCCAATCATTGTAGGTTGTCTATTCATTCATGTGGGGCAACAATACAGGGGGTGGGAAACAACAAACTTGGAAATTGCATTACACAGTTTGATTTATGATTCTATGTGACTTGCATTTGGCTGCAGTTAAATCCTATAATAATGCCTTGCGGGGACAGAAGACGTCTAAATTCATTTTCTCATGCATAAAACAACATAAAGCTATTGCCAGGTGATCAAAACATTTCAGACTCTGAAGCATTCATTTTTTGCCCTTTTCAGTAGCCGTGTTTGACAGTAGGGCAGCTTGAGTCAGCTTCCGTTCACCAATTGGAGATATTTAAAGAATCTTGTTAAACACATTGATATAATACCACAAGGAGAAGCACTGTATTGTTGTATTATACTGTATTGATTTTGTTCGCACTGGCTAGTTAACAGCTTGAGTGGTCGATTTGTTAAAGTTTAATGAGATAAGGAGGTAAAACATTACAGTACAATCGCTCGAAAATTTCCCCAAAATAAGATGGATGCACCATGGTACTGTGTTAATAAGGGGATATGATATGATAGGATACTCTTGAGGGAAATTCAGCTTGTAAGGACAGTACAAAAAGCTATTCAAGATGCACCGTACAATGATGAAAAACACTGAGCACCTTGTTCATTTTGCAGCAAAGGAAACACAGATTTTCATATTTTCATGCTATTTTCTTGAATCAACATAACCTCCACACACTGCTCACACCCATTACTTCTATTTTTTAATTTACTTTTTTTTTTTATCAAAGTGCATCAACTTTCTCAAAAACCTATTAAAAGTAAGAACTGAACCTTTGTCTCCTCTCATGCAACGACATTATAACACACACTTCTCTCACCAGGAGGCAGATGAGCAAGAGACTTACACAAAGGGTATCCTGTGGAGATTGTTGCCATCTCAATCATAAACACACACAAGAACACACACAGAGATACATCTAACCACGTTCAAGGCATTTAGATTAGCAGGGCTTTCACCCAGTGTCACTCAGCAAAGTCATGTGAAAACACAGACAGCTATAACAAAGCCGCTTGGAGTTTGGACATCTCACTGTTCTGGGAGATAAAAGAATAACAATGATTGTGCCTAAAGACACCAGTCAGATTGAAGGAATACATTTACTATAAAAGCCTTCCACCAGCCAACTGTGTGCTCGCATGGAGAAAAAAAAACATCCATAATCATTATGAAAGCAAAAGTGTGGGATGATCAGGATATCAGAGAGTGCGGAGAGAGAACATCAAATAAGCACAAATTCAATTTAAGATTATGTTGTCGACAAGAAAATGTCCCAGCATTTCATGTTTGGTTATTCTTATTCTTTCCTGATCTAACACAAAACAGACCAGTGCCCATTGTAAAATATGTCAAAAACATTTTCAAGTATTCAACAGGATCGGCATACATCCTGATAAATATTTTCTCGTTACACAGACATTTTTCATCGTGATAGCATTTTTCATATTTCGACACACACCCACACCTGTAGCATACTGAGCAGATCTGAACTGTTAAGCCTTGTTAACACCGACTTGCCAGTACAAACATCTCAAAGTCTTCCTCACAGGCTTCCAGGTTGAGAGGCCATGTGAAGGATTAGATCTCAACTCCCACAGTACAGACAGGGATGGTGAAAGATTAGCTGTCATCCCTCAAATGATCCGAGAGGACACAAGTACCAACTGTTCCCCTCTGTTCTGAACACAAAGGACCCATTTTCACCACTGTCTGCAACTGTTCCGAGACTAATTTTATGGTTGTAACAAGCTGCAGTATTTCATGATGGATAATATCTTTTTTGCAGATGGGGTGGATAGTGCTAAGTGGGATTAGATGTGGATAACATATGGATGTGATTAAAAACCTGTGTTGGCCATAATTGTTGGCAAAACTAACCAGTGACATTGCCCAGCACCTACAAATCAACATTTCAAAATGGCAATTTGTTCAGCAACCATTGCACAAAAGCCAGTTTTCAAACAAAGTCCGCCACAGAAAACTCAGCTCCTGTATTGTGCGTGACAAAGATAATGAGGTTGCAATCTGATCCTTTAAATAACTTGAGTTCCTAATTAAAGCAATCTTTACCCAACAGTGTGGTGGGGAGAGAGAATACAGAGACTGAAAAACAAACATGTAGAGAGAAAGCAAGACAAAGATAAAGAGAAAGAAAGAGGAATAAATACTTGCATGTATTTGTTCCAGCCTCATTTTTAAGTCACTTAAACACTTACATGCGTTGGTGACGGCAAAGCTGTTGGCGGTCTCTATGTTGTCGACATGCGGGACCAGGTTAAAGGGAGCTTCCGTAGCATTAGGGCTGGTGTTGTGAAGGAAGATAGCTAGTCGGAACGCTGTATACTCCTGATCAGTATTCCTAATGAACAACCCGCCTAGAGAGAAGGACAAAGAGAGAGGGCAAGGAGGAGAGGAACATGATGGAGAGGAAAGGAAGTGAGTTATTGTAGGGCGGAGAGGGGTCGGAAGGGTGCGTGGTGAGAGAGGGAGAGAGACAGGAAGAAGGAGAGTGATGTGGGGAAAGAAAGATAGATAGAGAGGGAGGGCAGAGAAAAACAGAGGAGGGGAGGGAGAGAAGAAAGCCAAGATCTTCATTAGCTTTGTTACAAAAGGTAATTTGTCTTTCGGCACATCCTCGCTCTTACACACACATAAACATGACTATAGACACACTTACGGATACCCACAGTGTGTATTTCATTGATGAAGCTGGAGACAGACAGAAAGAGAGAGAGGAGGAGAAAAGAGAAACAACTAAGCCGACAGGAAGGCAGTCAAAGAGATAATGAGTAGGAGAGGATATAAAAGAAAAACAGGAGGGAGGAAGGCCAGATCAAAAAGTGTCAGCTAAATAAAGGAGGCGCATGGGCCATGAAAAAGAAAGGAAGAGGGAGGTGAGTGCTAAGTGTCAGTTGGCCTTTAAAAATGAGAGTATCCCTCAATACGGTGCGTCTGACAGAGTGAGAACAAGGGGAGACGAGAGATAATAAGAAATAGTGGAGACGGCGTCAGAGGAAGAGTTAAGGAGAAGAAGAACGTGACAGAAATTTTGGAAAGAGAGAGATCTGGTATCTCTAGTGAAGACTGGCAGATTACCACCTCTGTTTGAGAAAAGCTGGGGGAGTCATCTGAAGCCTGATTAATAATACAGGAAAGAAAAAAAAGAAAGAAGAAAAGAAAACACTGAAAGCTATGCTGGAAATAAACTGAAAATATATAAAATACCAAAATATTATAATTGAAAGACAACTGGCAAAGTCAGTCTGTAAGATGATTCAGAGTGTTGTAGGTGGACATGGGCAGTCAGAGATGATAGAATCACTGCAATAGAGCCATGATCAGTATAAAGTGATGAAACATTCACAGAGAATTTGAAAAAGTTCAAGTGCCATTCTGGGAAAACTTAAAGCTGAAATCAAAGCAGCAACATTTGTTTCCCAATGACACCTGGTACACCTGGAAATGTAACTGCCCACTGTCTGTCTCCATGAAATACCACACTTCTACATTTCTTCATACAGTATGTTGGACTGAAGTAAAGTGATTTGACCCAAGTTTAACTGAATCAGACTCAGCTCAGCTCAGCTGGATTACACTGGCAGACTGTGAAGCCTGGACATCGCATTGGTGGTGGTGGTGGTGGGGGGGGGGGCAGAGGAAAGAGAGGGAAGGAGAAGAAGATAACAAGAGAGGTGTTGGGAGGCAGAGCATGTTGAACAAAGCGATCGTCACTACATAACATGTCACTCATCTGTGTGTCTGCATGTGTCATTCATGCTGAACCTTCCCCTATGCTTTTCTCTGTGTCTCTCTGAAGCATCACTGTAGATCAGTCACCAAGGCCAGACACTAAACACACATGGATACATAAAGACAACACATCCTGAGCATGTATGGGTAATGTGTGAAGCATATATTGATTTTGTTTTCTATAATTATCTGATTAAGTTTAATTGACACTAAATCTCCTGCTTATGGTTACAATGAAAGACTGTGATTTCTGTTCTAGGGTAGAATTCCACCTTATAGCACACACACATTCACAGACATGCCAATGTCCCAATATGACATGTTATTGCACCAGTTTCTCAAATACATTTCACAAACATTCTCATCTGTGTCATTGTCTGTCCCTGTCTCTCCCTCTCTTCTACACACACACACACACACACACACACACACACACACACACACAAAGACAAAAAGAAGCTGTTTGTGCTTCCAGTGATATTACACTTCTGTGCAATGCAGAGATATGCAAATGACTCCTCAAGTGAACTGCTGGAGAGCTGAGTGAATGATCAAGTATGTATATTTGAGTGTTTAAAGAAGATGGTCAGTGTGCGAGAGGGAAAGTGTTCATGTGTGTTCTTCTGCATGAGAACATATGCTGTACACAGTATGTATGCGTGTGCATGCATACATGTTCACTGTGTGCACACATGTATGCATACCAGTGTAAAAGTGTGCACGGGCACGTTGCACATGCGTGTGGATGCACATTTGAAGCTGTGCGCACGGCATACAGTATGCGTGCATTTTTATGATTGCATGTGCACATTCTACATGCACACATGCATGCTTGAAAACCAGTGCAAATATGTGTGTGTGTGTGTGTGTGTGTGTGTGTGTTTGTGTGTGTGTGTGTGTGTGCCAAGCAGAAAATATTTAGCGTATTAAGTTTATTGGCAGCTGTAGGGAGACAGAGTCAAGGAGCTGAATTTCATTATAGGACCTCCCAGCTGCCCCCCACAAGGAGTGATGCAGTGCATTCATTATCACACACATGCCTGCACGAATGTGTGTGTGCATGTGTGTGTGCCAGAGAGAGGGATAGAGTGAGAGACAGAGAGAGAGGGTGAGATTCCATGCATGTGTGGTCCATATGCACTGAGCAAACCAATGATGATCCAGAATTTGTTAAGTTTAAGTCGGGTTGAAAGACAGGCTTCACCCGCACTGACAGGAGGATGGTAACTGGAAAAGGGCAGAGAGAGAGGGGGAGAGAGAGAGAGAGAGAGAGCGAGAGAGAGAGAGAGAGAGAGAGAGAGCGAGAGAGAGAGAGAGAGAGAGAGAGAGCGAGAGAGAGAGAGAGAGAGAGAGAGAGAAAGAGAGAGAGTGCTGCAGTGTCTAAACAGTGAAGAAGACTAGAGGGGAACAAAGCTCCCTGAAACATTCATGAGCCCAGAACAGCCTTTAAGATACACGCAAATACAGCGAAAGGATAGACAGAGTGAAAGAGTTAGTGTGCATTTAAAAAGCATATGAGTCACAGCAGAGATGCAAAATGTCTTGGATGCAAAACAAGAGGGAAAAGATGCACCAGAGGGAAAATGTTTCCATAGTTGTGTGTTCTTCCTTTCCATTACCCCTGCATGAATTTCTTGTGTCTGACAGTGATTTTTGTGTTTTGGTGTATGAAGGGTCCCGGTGCAACCCCCCTTGTTTTTCTAGGTGACTGATATCCGCTAAAATCCACAAATATTCAGTGTAGTGTGTCTGATCTGAGTGTCCGTGCGTAAAATCTGTAACCCTCCAACTCACCTATCTGCACTGAGCTGGGGAAAGCCCCCGTCGCCAGCCCCCAAAGGGCGGAATACACCCCGAGAAAGTGCCAAGAAAAAATAATAATCCTCATTTTTTTCTTTCCTTCAATCCCTTCAGAAACTGTTGAGAGACATCGAGAGAAAGAAAGAGAGAGGGGGGGGGGGATGCGAAAGAGAGAGAGAGAAAAAAAAGGCGTCAGAAAAAAAGGGGAATAAAGAAGAAAAGATGAGAGTTTTTCCCCCGTGTTGTCCAGCAGTATTCCTATTCCATGGTGGGTTCGTTCGTTTCTTCCCCTGCAGTGTCCGCTCAGGAGAGAGCTGTGTGTCCGGTGCACATGTAAAGACGGGGAGAGAGAGGGAAGAGTGGGGAAACTCGCTAGAATGATTGGCGAGCTGGGAGAACAGTCTGCATGGAGGAACTGGACATGCGCGCCCCGTCTCTCTCTCTCTCTCTCTCATTCCCACACACCCTCTATTTCTCTCTCTCTCTTTCTCTCAGTGAAAGGGTCTGTTTCTCTCTCTCTCTGTACCCTCTCCTCCTCTCCATCTCCCACTTTTCCCTTCCCCGTCTGCTGTCTTTAACTTGCTGTTACACTGAATTCCGCTGTAGTCTATTGATAAGGTTTGGTCAGGGGACATGTAAGAAGAAGCTTTAAAAAAAAAAAAAAAAAAAAAAAAAAAGGATCCGCGTGAGTGAGTGTGCGTGCGTCTTTCCGCGCACTAATTTGTTGTCATGGTCCCCGTCCGCGTACACTACACATCATGCACAAATGCACGTGTGCGCGCAAGAGAGAAAGAAGCAATGGAAGCAAAAAATATTAAAGTGTTTCAAGTGAAAATGAAGACTGAAGATTTGTTGTGTTTGTAGTGGCGATGCAGACTGAAGTGAGAATGAGAGACAGATAGAGACGTTCTGCCTGCGCCTAACTAATTGCATTACAAACCCAATCCATCCTGACGCATCGGTCCACTCACTCCGCGGCCAAACCTGACTCTTGTCTGTCCCACCAAGGCAGCAGCGTGCAGGCCAGCTGACAGAGAGGGAAACCTCAGGCCGCCTACAGCTGCGGGACGCTGATGGCGCCCTGGGGACCCGCTAAAGTCCTCGTTATTTCAACGTCAAGACCTCATGAGCACAAACATCTGGCCACGGAAAGGGGGGAAAAAAAAGCAGATATTGCACAAGAAGGAAAGCGCGATCATTCAGCAACACAGAATGACAAAAGCCAGAGATAATGAGGTGTTTTGTGCAGCTTAAGACAAGAAAAAAGAATCATTGCCTGCAGTAGGCTACATCCTGTTAGAGTACATTGTGTTATAGCCGTAACCCATTCAGAGTCGTTTTATCTAGCCTGCCGGTAGCAGGTCGGTAAAACTGACAGACGGTCTGGGATCGCGTAGTTACACGGTGGAGAGCACAGTTTCATTTTTCCAGATGGCAAAACGAAAGGGATGCTTCACGGTTGTCCCAGTGAAAGATGCGGTCTGTCCATCTCTGAGGGGTTTTGCCGGCCGATTGCAGAACATACGAGTAAATCAAATAGGCTGAAAAAAATGCGAGTTCAACGTTTTTACACCACACTTTAAAAAAAAAAAAAAAAAATACAGACAGGATGTTAATTTACTTAAAATGAGATTTGGACCCAGCTCTCCTTCCGTAATAGAACGGCATGCACACAGGGACGGCCTCCAGTTTCATTTAAAGTAGATTTCATGAAGCAAATAGAAGATACAGCCAACGAAAAACTCTACACAATGCACAGTGATCTGCTTCCCATCAATTGGTGTTTCCTATTTGATTACTGGTGTAATGGAATATAGCCCACAACAGGACACGTGTACGTTTGGCTGTGTGTTGAGGCAGATTTCATATGCACCAAAACAACACAGCACTCGCCGTTTTCAACTTCATGCTGCCCGCGTCCACTTCCCCCACCAGACTCTGTCCATGGTGCTGAAATCGACGGGCTCCTCACAGCTCTCTCACCGTGCTCCACAGTGAGCACAGAGTCTGCAAGCAGGTTTTTGCTGAAAACAAACATCCCACACCAGGAGATTTCACTGATTAGTTACTTGTCTCTAGATGGAAGATGGGCTAATTGGTAAAATCACCTTATGCAGTCCTGCAGGCTGCGACTTCACTGGCCTTCATGGCATATTAATGTGTGTGAGTGCCACACATACAAACTTATGTATTATGTATTGCGTAACATGTGGTGCAGATTCTTATTTTCTGGTATTTCATTCTTGAAACAAAACTTTAGCCAAGTCAACATGGGTTCGTCATAATCCTTTTGATAATAATCATGTGTATCAGTAATGCTTCACGGAGACTGAACTGTGGATACAGACCAAACTTTAACTACTGAGTGGCTGTGATGTTAAGTGGGAAAACCTCTGACTACCACAGAAATACAGTATCATTGCCTATACACTGACATAGGTCACAAATGCAGAGCCAAGGCTTACTCACTATTTAATGTAGGCTACCACTGTGATTCTTTTTCTCACTGTGTTGCAAATGGAAATGATAGAGAAAACCAGCAGCAGCTTCAGTACAAACTACATGATGCTCTCAGTCTTGCAACATAAGCATGGTGAAACGTCCTCACCCCCCACCATAGTTTCCAGTACAAACATTTACTTTAGAGAGAGCCTGTCCTGGTTGTGACTTATCACAAAACCTGCAGCCATTGGAGAGCTGCTGTGCTTTATAATGGCTTTATACAAAAGCCAGCTTTAGATGAGCAGGAAAATTCATCTAAAGGCATTTTCCCAAACTTGTCTTGGTAGACCAGGGCTAAGCCATCTGTATGATGATATTTTACATTGTTTGTTTTGATGGTAATGGTGATTCGTTGCAGTTTATTTTTAGCTCACCATCACTGCAGATGTGAAATTCTGAACAAAATGTCTTGTAAAGGGAGTTCATTCACTCACTTCTCTTACTTATTTATGGGTGCTCACTGAATGTGATAATGACTTGTACTGCTGTGTCTTAGCAGTGAGGTTTCTCATGCTTGTACAGTCCAACTTGGGACCTAAGGTTTTACTATGAGTGGGTTGAGGGTTGTGGCACACTTACACATTTATTTTTTTTTCCAACAGAATTATATAAGCCAAATGAATATGAGCAACAAACAGTATATTTTTTCATTCTAGTTCTGCCTGCATGACTGCACTCACACTACAGTTTTGTGAGGCCTGTCCATGGGAATATTGTCCTTTTACAGAGGGGTGAATTGTTGGGTGTTTAAAGGCATCTTTAGAGGGACACTTCAGTGGCTCTTGGAAAGCATATGAATTATGAACAGCATTTTTATTCACCAGTAATCCATGTCAGTAATCATTAAAAGAAACCTTTTGAATATTATGTTTTTCATATCAAACAAAGCAACCAAAATCAAGCATTAGAACACAGTAGAATTCTCAAGGTGTTAGCTGTTAACAATATCATGTGCATGCCCATATCAACCATGCTACGCAAGGTTAGCCAAGTGAATATGTTGTTTCCTATATAGACCAGGCCAATTTTAAAGAGTAAATTATCAGAACGCTTTAAAGAGAAGGGAACTGTGACACCCCTTCATACATATATGAAAGGTAGTGGCTTCATTACTAGTGTCTTTCAAAGAGAAAAATGTAGAAAACTAGTATACTGTACTTCAATACACCTCAAAGTAAGAAGGTTGTGATAGTGGATTGTGTCCGTTTGTGGGTTTTCTCCACCAGGTTTGCACAGGGCTCTTCTATGTGCTCAAGTTTTCAGAGTCTAAAGAGAAATAGCTTGGTACAAGGAAATGTCCAAATGGCTCATGTACTGTATTTGAGTGTAAGCCCATATATCAATCGAAACAAATGAATCAAACTATTGTATTACTACCAGATTAGTTTGTGATGTCCAGATGAACAACAGGTACAGAGGATCAAGGATAAGATGAACCGAGCTCTACTGTATCTAAAGGATAGTGTTTCATACAGGAAGTGTATTCAAAATGAAAATGCATTTTGAATCCTTTTTGTCTTTGAGAGGATTTTCCCAAAGAATGGAATTGTGAGTAACTAAATGAAAGATTCAAGCAATCAATAAAGCAAGCAACAACCAAACAATCTTTCTTTTACACACCAGCAAACACACAACCATCGGCCACTACTGTTGAAAATATTGCATTTTGTTTGTCTCTTGTTGAAACCTTGTATCATCAGTATTACCCATTTTGTGCAGCTGACATTTGCGATTTCCTTAAAAAGGCAGAAAATGGATCATGACCCCTTGACAAATTATTAATGCATTTTATATTAAAATGCTGAGAATACATTTTTTTATTTAACCCAAGAGACATTTTTGTGAAACAAGTCTTTTGTGGAATTTAGTGAATTCAAAGTGCTCCACATTGCTGCCAAAAACAAATAATGCCACAGCTAATGCACGACCGACATCTTCTCATTACACAGTTTATCTGAACACTTTGAAATGTAGTGTCGTAACCACTATTTCAAACACATAAATACACACACTGTGGCACACACCTTTCTGTTCTACTCGCCACATATGGATGATGCCACAGTGGAAAAATATTGCTCTTTTTCCAATATCTCACAGTGTGTCTAATCTATATATGTATCCAATGTACCTAAATCCATTCATCAATATTCCCATTGCTCCAAGGCATTCTCTCTGTCTGCTGAATTGACCAAAGTCAATTACTTAGTTCACAGTCAATATACCAACTTGGTAATAAAGACCCATCAACAGAGAGTGCTATAGGCATGTGGTAATTGACACTCTGATGTTAACTTTGTACTCTGACTCAAACCACATTGAGTGAAAATCGGCACATTCATGGTGATGTTAAGGAGGAAATCTTCATCTCTCATTTGGATATTTCTTGGTAAATCACATGAACAATTCAATTTTGTACTGTGTGGCCTAATTTCATGGTGTAAAATGTGTGTTTAATCACATTAAGATGATAGTCAATATGGTAGTACAGCAGTACATGTTTGTAGAACAAATTAACAAGTCTAATGACAAGTCTCTCCTGGCCAGAGTTCAAACATGACATGGACTATCGGGCCCAATGCCAGCATCTCAACT